CCGCTGTTACAGTGCTCGAGCTTTGGGATCAAAGCTCGAGCCATGGATGAAAAGCTCGAGCAATTGGATGAAAAGCTCGAGCTATGGTTAGAAAGCTCGAGCCTGGAAGGAAAAGCTCGAGCAATTAGATGAAAAGCTCGAGTTATGGTTAGGAAGCTCGAGCCTTGGATGTAAAGCTCGAGCCTTGGGATATAAAGCTTGAGCCTGAAATAGGATGCTCGAGCCTTACTTGAGAAATTTTCGTAAACAGCGTTAAATAGATCTTATTTGACTTTGAAGGGTCCTGAACATAAAATAGGGACTAGGTATGAGTTTAAATAAATTTTAAATAAACTTGATCATAACGATGCTTGCTATTTGAATGTTTTAAACAAACAAATGGATTTAATCTTTTAAATTGTTCTAACAATTGAAATTAAATGTGTAGGATGAATTGGATATGAAGAATGCTTACTTGACTGTATAATAAAATATCAGCATGTTTAAGATTCAGTATGTGTAGGATATGTGATGTAGGAGGTTTAAATAATTTATAAGTCATTCCTATTTTGTGATAACATGATATTATATTATTATATTTATTCTGGATTATTTGAGGTATTTTCTTAATTGTTATATCAACTATTGAATTGTGTGGATATAGTGCACCAGTATGGGATGGTGGCATTCTAGGGATGGATTAACTTATCAGTTAAGTCCTACCTATTTTGTATAAGGGAATGGATTAACTAAAATGTTAAGTCATACTTATATTCAAGTCAGGTCAGCTAAACAAGTTGAATGACTTATAGAGGATTACTTGTAGAAGATTAATTTATACTGTTGAATGCAATTAGCATATGTCTCTATCCTTGTGTTGTATTTGGATTGTGAGCTTAATGAAAGGATTAATGACTTGTTTTGATTTATTGTGCCTTTCACATGTTGTTTAGATAATATATGCTTGATTGCTTAGATATATTGTGCCTTTCACATTATGTTTAAACAATACATGCTTAACTAGTCATCCTTACTTATTGAATCAATCAAACACACACACACACCATTTGCCCTCATTAATCACTTGTCAATGATATAGAAATGCATTGCTTGGTGGTGATCTCTAAACCCCAAGATCTCTCTCTTTCTTACTTACTCTTAATTGCATTTCTTTTGCTATCATTTTGTTTAATTTAGTTGTTCTTTAATCAACCAACCAACCAATTATTTGATCACTCGACCTACTAGCCCTAATTGTGATTCCACGACATTACTCGATCCTCATAATCCCTTGGGCCGATCCTTTCTCACTCATACTACATAGTATAGGTGTTAAGCGGTTTATAAATTTAAGTATGATACTCACTTGATACTAATTTCCAAACTCAAAGTGTTGTGCATTATTTTGTGCACACGTTCGAGTCGCATCACAGCTTTTGGCGCCGTTGCTGGGGATTTGTTGATTAGATTTGGCAACGTCGGATTTGTGAAATTGGTTAGGATTAGTACTCTTTTGATCGTGTCTTTACTTTATTTTTATTTTTCTTTTTGGTTACTTATTGTGTTGATTACTTAACTAGGTACATTGTTGGAGAAGAAGCAAGCAAAGGAGCAACCAAGCATTCAAGCAAGCAAAGAAAGTAAAAAGATAAAAATTCTAAAATTGCTATGCTAAGCTTTAAAATTTGGAGTTGAAGTGCTAAAAGACCTTTGTGAAACTTTCTTTACTCAATCCCTTAGTTAAATCGTCGACCCGCGTGGAGGCTTATTTTTTATTGTCTTGCATCATTGTTGTTAAAGCATGGGAGTATAAATTAAATGTTTGTGGAAGAAGTCTAATTGCATTATTGTGAAGGCATAGTGTTTGTCATTCTTTATGTTTCTTTGTGTTTTGCATTGTGCATGCATGGACGTAGTTCATTGAGACCAACTCTTGTCCCTCTTGATTTGCATCTTGAATCTATCGTTAGAAATCCTAGGGGAAGAGGAAGTTCAAATAGAGCCAATCTTTCAATGGACGACCATAATGATAATCATGTTGAGGACCTTGGTCACATAAACCAATAAGGTATCCTTCATCCCAATGTGCACAATGAGAACATATAAGTACCATTAGGCATGCCTAGGCCATTCATTCACCAACCACCACAACAACAAGGCCAAATTCCATATGGAATGCCAAGGCCAATGTATGCTCCACAACCTCCCATCAACAATCAAGGGATTCAAAACCAAGGTGTTCATGTTGCACCTCAAGTAGCTAATCCACCTCTTGCTTTAAGAGACCATTATGTGCCTAATGAGTATAATGCACCTACATGCATACAATTGCTTCCATTTAGAGCACATCATTATGAAATTAAGCCACAAACCATTCAAATGCTTCCTAACTATCATGGACTTCCAAGTGAAGAACCAAACAAGCATTTGGATGAGTTTCTTGAAGTATGTTCCACCGTAAAATATACGGACATTCCGGAAGAGGTTTTAAGACTTAAACTTTTTCCATTCACCTTAAAAGATAAGGCAAAGTATTGGTTTAACAATCTTAGGCCTTTTTCAATCACTTCTTGGGCAGAAATACAACAAGAGTTCTTGAAGAAGTACTATCCAGTTTCTAAAACCAATGCCATGAGAACCTCAATTCGAGAATTTTCACATGGGGATGGAGAAACGTTTCATGAGGCATGGGAACGCTTCAATGAATTGCTTAAGAAGTGTTCACATCATGACATGCCCAAATGGCAATTAGTTCAATACTTCTTTGAGAGCTTATCGGACAACTATAAGGGTATGGTTGATGCTTCCATGGGTGGCTCATACATTGATAGGCATGAGGATGACGTGTGGCGTCTCTATGAGAGCATGAGTGAAAATTCTTTGTATAGAACACTATCATCCAAGAATGGTAGAAATTCATAAGGTAGGAAGAGTGTTGGCTTACATCAAGTCGACCATTCAAATGAAATAGCCGCCGAAATGAAGTCTTTATCTCAAAGGTTTGATCAATTTTTGATTAACCAAAACTCGGCGAACCAGGTGTCTTCCTTCCCTAACCATTCTCATCGTGCATCAAATGAAACATGTATGACTTGTTTTAGTGTTCTTCATTGTACTTCTCATTGTCCTCACGGACAAGTGCAAAGTGAACCTAATGAACAAGTCAATGCGACTTTTATGAATCAAGAGAACAATCCTTATGGTACTCATTATAATCCAAGTTGGAGGAATCATCCAAATTTCTCTTGGAAAAATCAAGGAGAGAATTTAAACCCTTCCCAAGGCGGTTTTCAAATCATTAATCCCATTCTTATATCAAAAAAGGAACTTCAGAGTTTGGAAAAACATAGTTACTAATTTTTTTGACTTACGATGAACCCATATTTGAATGTGCAACAACTAGATTCATTGGTTACACAAAAAGATGTGAGTTCTATTCATGAAAAGGATATCATTAAGATTTACACACGCACACACACAAAAATAATAATAATAATAATAAGAAGAAGAAGAAATGAAATGTAAAGTAAAGTAGGGGATAAGCTAAAAAGTTGTCATAGCAATCTATGTATAACAAGTTAGACAAATTGATAATGGAAAAATATTGTTTCTTGATACCGTTGAGAACAAAAAAGGATTGAAATCAAATTAGCAAAGACCAAAATTCATTCCATTCCATCTCTTGCCAGCCTCCTGGTCAGTATAAGCTTAAGCAGCCAATTGTTGTAAGTTGTAACTTGTAAGCAACCTTGTAGATGTCCACAGAAGTAGCAAGCAACAATTAGTGATGTTAAATGGGTATAGAGATGCCCATTTAATATTTTGGTCCAAAGTGTCAAGCTGTTGTTTTAAAAAAATCTCAGATCTTTGATAAAAATAAAGCTCCACCATCAAAACATATATACAATAAACATACTGTGATTCCCTTGATTAATGGCCTAAGAGGCATAAAAGTGTCAGCTTGTATAGCACCCATTGTATAATTTATTCAATTGCATCAATCAAGTGCTCATAAAAACTATATCTGCCAATGCTTTTAAAGTGGAAATACGATTGCAAAAAATAGGGAAGAAAGAAAACAAATTGCAAATTTCTATTTCTATTTCTAAGATATCAAAATGTTTTAAATTTTTTTTTTCCATTTGCCAAAAGAAAAGAAAATGAAAAAATTTGTTTAAAGCAAATTGTAATTTATTAAACACTGAATCAACTAGTGTTATATCATATATTATAGTATATATTATAACATATATATTTGACAAAAGTATTGATTTGCTTTAAATCCTTTTAACGGGGCTTCTCATTTTCCTCCGATATCTATGATACTCTACCATTGACTTAAGGTTCTATTCCTGGATTAATTTTAATACGAGATTAAATTAAACAAGGTATCTGTCTCTGAAGATTAATTTGCATCTTAAGACTCTCATCTGAATCGAGTTCTCAAAATCCTCAAGATCTCCATTTATATGCAAACCTCAATATACTCGTCTGAATCGAAATCAATTACATGTTCTCTCACAGGTGAAATATGTTCTGAAGATCAGACAAATTATTGTCTTTGAACTGCACATTTGTTGTTGGATTTTAGAAATACATCATTATCCAAAAATCTTAATTTATTTTTGTTGAATAACCAGCTAGTGCTAAATTCGTGTGCTGGAAAGTGGAACTGTACGAATTGGGCTGGGATGAGTTGTAAAACCTGGAAATTGGAATTGGATTTTGAAATTAAGCACAAAATGATTGTAAACTGTTATGCATGTATTGATTTCCTAATTATTTAATACATAATTATTTGCTTCGCTTCAAGCTTATAAAATTTTTCCTTAGAAGTGATTGGATTGGAACAAGCTGTACCAAAATTGTAATCTAAATTTGATTCTAGCTTGATCACAAACTTTAATCCACATATATAAGCAAGTAGCCAATTACTAATTTAATCACCCCAAACCTAGCCCTACAAGAATCTCTCTCTATCTGGGCTCCACCATTTATTCTTCTTAATTAAACGCTTCCAAACTCACAATCCTCTCTCTTAAAGCGATCTTCTTCATTTATTCTCTTCCACTTACGCTCACAGTGCTCTTTCTCTCCCTCAAATTATTCAGCTTCATTCCTTAATCTATCTATGGCAGCAGCAGCAACAACAACATCAACAGAGGGAGAAGCATCCACAGAACCCCTCAAATACAAGGTAATATTAATGGAAACCCAACTTCTCTCTTCAACTAATATATATATATATATAATTATATATAGATGTCACACACACATATATGTATATATATATTAACCTCTTAATTCTCTCTTCTGTTTCTCAGACGTGGGTCTTGAAAGTCTCCGTCCACTGCCAAGGCTGCAAAAGAAAAGTCAAAAAAATACTTCACAACATTGAAGGTAACAACGCGCGTGTATTTATATATGTATATATATATATATATACATACACGCATACATATATGTGATTATATATGAGTATGTCTGTACTATCCATATAGTAATCCCTTTTTTTTCCTCACTTGGCGTAATGATAAAATTGCTCCATGTAGAGCATTCAAATTGAATGACTCTAAATAAAATAATATTTTCACATCTCTAATTTTTTTTTCCTGAGAATCACCCACTTAGCTTTCAATTCGTCTCTAACCAAGTGAAATGTGAACTTATGTCTTTTTAAAACATGGAACGCTTCTCTAGACCCGCAAGAAGCCTTGCTCGGCTAAAAACAAAGACAATAAATGGGAAAACAATTGGTTTTTTTTTTTTATTATTATTATTTTTTCATTTCTTTCTATTTTCACTCATTCATCTAGTTTTCCTCTATCTTCGTCAGGTGTTTATACTGAAAATATCGATATCAAGCAACAAAAAGTTACGGTAATTGGTAACGTGGAATCAGATGTTTTGATCAAGAAATTGATAAAGTCCGGTAAACATGCCGAGCTATGGCCGGTAAAGGTTGATAAAAAAGAGAAAGAAGCAAAGAATAAAAAAGAGAAACAAGAACAAGAAAGCAGTAGTGAAGAAGATGATGAAGAGGGTGATAGTGATAGCGGATCGAAGGACCCCAAATCGGAGGTGAAAAAACCGGATACCGGACAGGCGGGTAATCAAGCTCCGGCGGGGGCGGGTGGTGGCGGTAAGAAGAAGAAGAAGAAGAAAAAGAAAAAGAAAGTGCAATTTGGTAATACCACGGCTGTCGAGGGTGCACCATTAGCTGGTGCACATGCAGGCACAGGATTACCTACTCATAATCATGGCCCACATCCTGGTGCGCTTCCGGTTGATCACAGCCCTCCGCGCCAGTGTGGGTATTACTGTCCATCACATTACTATGTAGCACCTCCTGTATACACTACTGCAAGTTACAATACGGCGTATCCTACTACCATCTATACAGCATCGTACCAGACCTCTCAAATACCGTATAGATACGCGTACTCGGATCCAATGTATCCACCGTCTGATTTGGGCTCAAATTCAGGGCAGCCGTCGGATTCTCTTGAGGTTTTTAGTGATGAAAATCCAAATGGGTGCTCCATCGTGTGATGTTAAAAGCTAATTGGTTTTAGTATGTGTGTGTGTGTGTGTGTGTGTAAGGTTTACTTTTGTAATGGACGTATTTTTGATCGATTAGGAATGAAATATTACTAACAATTTTGTGGGTGCTTTTTTGCAGTTTTATAGCGATTTTACTTTTTACTTTGGTCAAAAAAGATTTTTTTTTTTCTTCTTCTTCTGCTTCATATGTTCAAGGTTTCAATTTAGACTAATGCCGGTATAGTTTTTACATGAGAAAAGTCATAAATTTTCATTATTTAATCATTGGATTTAAATAAATATTAAATGAATAATTTCACCTTTTACATATCTCAAAAAGAGTAATATCGTGGTAAAATAGTTGTCTTACTTTTCTTTAAATTAGCACATTTTGAATATGAAAAATAATATATAAATAATATCGTTACGTAGATCGATATTAAAGTGGTTTATCAATAAAATAAAAATAAAAAAATAATTTAAAATACCATAAATTGAAAAGGATGATAGTTTAATTTAATCAAAAGAAAGATAATATAAAATTTTGACTGAATCTCGTGATCTAGTATGAATGTTTTATTGTATAATTCTTATATAAACTTATTTTTAACGGTTAAATGCACACCTCTATATTGAAATTACTCTTAAAAAAATGAAAATTCAATATGTTGTTAGTAAAGAGAAGTTATGTCATTCTTGATAGCATTACTTTTTGACTTTACCACAAAAAAATCTACACTCACACTATGTGTCTTTCCTCTTTCACACCAGCTTTCACCTTGTTTAAAGATAAAATCATATTCATAATTGTTTAAAGAGGAATAGCATTCCAAAGCAATCCTCTACTAAAGTTTTCTGTTTTACTATTTGATTATTTTTCTAATTAGTTTATGTTGAAAGTAGATTTCAAGGAAGGGGTATCATTAGTCAAAATTTAGTTAGATTAATAATCTTCTAGGCACACTTGGATCAAAGTCACTTCATTATATATGTAAAAACACTATTTATTTGTTGAGTCGTGATTAAGATAAACACTAGTTAGGTCTATTTATTAAAATAAAATAATTAAGATCGATGGCTTGAAGTAGGATCCCATTTGAAATAATTAATGATCATAATTATTTCACTTTAACAAATAAATCAAATACCATTTTCCATATTTGACCCGAGAATATATGGGCTAAAATTATATGTCCCATACAGAAGCACACTTCTCTTTTGAGGTGATAACCCATTTCCTTCTTCTTGAATCTTGAAAAGAATATATGAGCTCTTCTTTTTTCTTCAACTACTATTAGAATTAGAACAATACCTCACACACTAAACCACCACAATTGCCTCTTTATGGTTCACCTTTTTCAACATCTAGAAAAGTTCTCTTTTTGGGGTTTTTATTCCCTTGCCTAGCTACTTCAACTTCATTTGACATCAATTCCAAGCTTCATGTTGAAGGGAACCATAGTACCATATTATATATATATGTTTTATTCTTATTCTCGATTGAGTTTGTCCACAGATTAACAAATTCAATAATTTTATGATTAATCATAATTAACAATAAAGTATATGATAAAAAAAATGTTTTTTTGACCTTGGCAGTGACCATTTGGGATTTTAGAAGGGTAACCTTTTTTATCATCGGCTTCAATTAGACAGATTTGCTTCTGCAAAACTAGCAAAATAGAGATTTGTGTCACGCGATCTGCACGAAAAATTAGTAACAAAATATTATCTTAATGCATAAGGACCTCCGAGTTTTACGACTAATGTGGTATATCGCATCACTTATTCATTATAATATTAATAAATAAATAACCTATATAATTTTTTTTAAGTGAAAATAATTGACACCAAATCAAATTATACAACACAACCATACCACACGTTAGCTTTAATAAGAAAACCCTTAGGTTTCTTATTCAGAAACTTGTAAATACATGAATTTGTTGACAGATATTTGACCAAATGGATCTTGCAATTCCTATAAAATGTATTCCTAAAGTACCCTCGTAAGGATAAAGCTGAAAGTAGAGAAAAAAAATATCTCTGCGTCAAGAGACAAGTATTGTTCTTTTCAAAAATAATCAATCAACCATGTTGTAACGTTGGCATTGACACGTAACTATTAATCATATTGTGACCTATTTCGGATCATCAAGAACCAGATTATCAGGAGCGGAGCCAGGATTTTGAGGTTGGGGAAGCTAACATTACGTTACCTAGCTAGAATTTTGGAAAAAAAAAAATATTACGTAGGCAAAAATATATTACTATTTATTATATTCATACAAAAATATATATATTTAAACTTTTTTCAATTTATTTAAATAAAAAAAACTAGTGATTTAAAGAAATTTTTTATCAAACTTTCTGAACAAACACAAATAAGATTTATGGCAAAATTATAAAAAAAATTCAATTAAATAACTCTCTTTATTTACCGAAAAGGAAAAAAAAAAAAAACAAAAATAACTTTAAAAAAAATGTAACAATTGAAAATTTAACAAAAAAATAACAAAGAAAAAAAAAAAAAAAAAAAAAAAAAAAAAAAAAAAAAAAAAAAAAACACAAACAAATTAATAAAATAAAAATTTAGATTCTTAAATCATCAATTTTTGTTAATATTCAAAACTTCAAATGAAATTTTTGCTCTTGATTTTGTAAAAATTAATTTCTTAAAGAATTCTTATAAAAGCATTTCAATCAAAATGAATAAAAAGAAGAAAAAAAAAAGTGATGGAAAGAATCATGTATGAGATAGAATTTTAGAATAATAAGGTTATGGAAAGAATGGTACTTGTAGTCACATTATGGAAAAAACGGTATTTGAGTTGAAATTTTAATAAAGTCACATTAAATTTTTATGTGAATTAATTTTTATCAAGATTCTATAGTCGTTAATTAAATCACTATATAAACGATCTTTTGTTAAATTCTAATTAAAGAAATAATTTTTTTTTCTTAGAAGAGCCAAGTATAGATTTTATACTATATATACTATATTATTTTATTTTTAACTATACTAAAAAAAAATTCCAAAAAATTAGATGTCTCGTATTTCTCGAAAAAGTGATTTGGTTGTCATATATTCAATGGTGGCCTTCCCAGGCTTTATCTTTGGAATTCTCGCACCCATCTTGTTTAAGTAATCAGAAATTTCTTTAGGCATGTTGGCCCAGCACAAATACACATACGGAGGAGTTTGTAATTCCTCAACCCAATTAGAAGAAACATGTAGTTAATATAGATAATTTATTTAAGCCCAACCCAATAGTAACCTCTTGTAATAAATAATTACCCAATATAATTACCCATTATAATTGCCCAATATAATTACCCAATAAATCACCATCACACCACGCGGTAGTTATAAATTGCGAGTATAGAGAAAGCTGACTCACATGATTAATCTTAAACTCTCTAATTAGTGGATTTAATTATTGACAAGATCGCCTCACTTTCTCTGATTCTTGAATTTTTTTTATTTTTTATTTTTTTATTTCTATCTGTTGAATCATATTATGTCACTCTCATTCTCGATTGAGATGTCGACGGATTAACAAATACACTAATTATATGAGTAATCATAACAATAAAGAAGTATATAATAGAAAATGTCTACTTGACCTTGACAAATGACTAATAAAATATTGGAACAGAGACTTTTGGCTAAAGGGATATTGTTTTTTTATATAAAATTATTGATTCAATTTTAAAAAAATAATAAGCATCTTAACTAAATAAAAACGTAAAACAAACACGTGTTAATATAATTTGTTTGCAAATATATGCGTGTATATAGTATACACACTTTAAATTTGTAAACTATCATATTCTTTTATATAAAGGAGGGAAAGAGCTTATACGAAACAAAGTAAATTTTTGTTGATTCAGTAAGATAGTGTTAATTGAAGTGTCAAAATGAGTCCGTTGGAATTGTAATATACATTTTATTTTTGAGTTTTGATGTTAAAAATGTGACTACAAGTGCAATTAATTTTAGAAGGGCATGTTAAGCATGTTAAGTAAGGACACTAAATCGCACTTGTCGCACTTGTTCAGTTTCAAAAAGAAAAATGTTATTTTAGTTAAATTCAATTATCTTTTTTTATCAAATTTTAGATGGACATCCTTGTACGACTTTAATCTATATTTCAACATAGAAAAGAATTCTCCAACAAATATAAATACTCTTCTTATCCCTTACTATTTACAAGCTTAGAGATTATTATTTTTACAAGAGAACTTTTTTAGAGTATTTTTTAAATAAAATCATCCTAAATTTCTTTCTTTGAGAGACATATTACTTACACATAAGTGATCTTATGATGGTGCTCTCAATCTCACTGATGAGAATAGGGCTCTTTTTTTAATTATCTTGATTGATCAGAGAGTAGGGGTATTGTTTTATTTTATTGTATTTTATTTTTTTATTTTTTATGGTGTCGTTTCAACCTTTCAACTTCGCCATCGTAAGAAAGGGAGATCAATTGCACTAGGAAGGGAACATGGTATTCGAGGAACATTCTTAGTCAGCCAGAAGTTTGCAGCAGTTGGATGAGGAGTCCCAAATGTAACCCTGGAGACACATGATCTATTGTAATGCTTATTTTTCCAATTGGATTTTCAAGCTAAAATCCTAGTGTAAAATTAAAATAAACAAAAATTGGATAAAAGTGTAATTTGAACCTATTCACATCTTTAGGTTATTATTTTAAATTAAACTTTCAAAATCATTCCGCATAACACACCTCACATAATCCTATCTGCTGTAAATGTCAATATGATGAACACTTGTAAATACAGACGCCGAACATTTGTAGTGAATTGTCTAATTGAATAATTTTTAATTGGTTATTTATACCAAATATTACAATTAAGTGGAGGACTCCACTTGCTTATTTGTTACATAATTACCAATTAAAAGAATAGGTCTAACAATTTACTCAACTATTTGGTGTAAGAATCATTTCCCTTAAATAAATAAGAAAATTCGTAAATTGGAAAAGAATTAGACGCCTGACACCCATTAAAAAGATCATGTGGTAGTTCAATAATTGAACCTAGCTTGTCTAGGTTTAAATTGTTTCCGACTTTCATTATTTATTTTTTATAGTAAACTAAAAAAAAAAAATCCTATCTATCTCTGTCCTATTTAAGTGCACTATCTCATTTTTAGATGTTTCAAATTAGTTATCCACTTTGAAAAGTCAAAGCAAATAAGCCTTAGTCTTATTTTTCTATCATTATCCTTTATATTTTCAAAAAATTTCAAACCTGGTAACGACTCCCTCTTTTTCAAAAAAAATGTTCTTTTTGGGGAGTATAAATTTTTAAGGGGACATGTGGGTCATGTATTGTCTCTTGAAAAATTACTAACTTGCCATTTTAAGTTTTAAATATTTAAGTTTAAAATTTTAAACTCAAAAAACATATACGGAAAGATGTAAAATATATTATTTGAAAAAAAAAAAAAAAAAAAAAAAAAAAAAAAAAAAAAAAAAGTGGACAATTATTTTATGACAACCCAAAAAGGAAAATTGGACATTCTTTTTTGGGACAAAGAGAGTATAGTATAGATATCTAAACTAAAAAGAATAAGTTAATAATTTTAAAAAGGGACAATGCGTCCCCTTAAAAATTCCAATTTTTAAATATGGATATCTAATATGAGATGGAGGGAGTATATAAGTACTGAAAATAAAATGTTCCATTAGTATGTACCAACAGAAAGAAAGCATGGGTGATTTTGATTTGAAGCTTCTGGGCTCAATAGTAAGCCCCTTTGTTAGGGGTGGCAAATTCCCCATCTTCGGTCGCCAAGGCCCGGCCCCACCCTGCCCCGCCCCGTCCCGTTTATAGCAGGGATGGGGATCCTTTTAGCTAAATGGGGATGGGGATGTGGCTAATTTATGAATTCCCGCCGGAGCCGGGACCAGGGGCGGAGATAGGGTAAACCCGCCCGGCTCCGCCCCGATTAAGTAAGAAGTTACTAATATACCCTTACATATAATAATTTATTACTACATTAGATTTATTATTATATATAACAATAAGAAAAATATGTTTTTTTTTTAATAAAAATAATTATAAGGCCGGGGCTGGGGGGGGGGGGGGGGGTGGGGTGGGGTGGGGCGGGGCGAGGATGGGGATAAGGTGGCGGGGGCGGGTATGAGGATTCTGGCAAAATTTTAAGCGGGGATGGGGGCGGGGATAGGGAATGAAAAATGCGGCGGGGATGGGGATGGGGAATGGAATCCCCACCCCACCCCACCCCACCCCGTTGCCATTCCTACCCTTCGTCTACAGAATTGTGTCGGCACTAAAATTGAAAGGCATTGAATATGAATTTGTAGAAGAAGATCTCTTCAACAAGAGTCCATTGCTTCTGCAATCCAACCCAATCTACAAGATGGTTCCAGTGCTCATCCATGGTGGAAAACCCATCTCCGAATCACTTATCATTCTTGAGTACATAGATGAAACATGGAAAAACAATCCTATCTTTCCCAAACATCCTCAAGAAAGAGCTTATGCACATTTTTGGGCTAAATTTGTAGATGAAAAGGTAACACTTTTTCCTTCTTTCTTTTTTTAGTTAATCTTAATAATATATGTGTTGAATAGCATGCATGTGTAAACTTTAGCACTACAAATTTGTTTTAAGGTTTCTCAAAAAGGTTTATTTATTTACTTTTTTAAAAAAAAAAAAAAAACAAAAAAAACTTGGGTGCTATTATTTATTTATATCATATTAGTACTCGTATACACACTGTCTACGATCGGACTCGAACCATTCCCCTCTTTTTTGAGGATATGTAATTTTTACACTACAAATTTGAATTAGTTTTCTCCAAAATGTGTCTATATATATATGGGAGTACAATCAATTCACTAATTGGGAATTTGGGAGCTGTTATTGATCAAAATTTCTTCATTTTTGGACAAACATTATCACAGATCTGACCTACAATTGACTTTGTTTTAGATGACAAAAGTTTTAGGGGAAACTATTGACTTTATGATGATAATCATCTCCAAATTATTGAACATTAATTGTTTTTTTTAATATATATATATAAGCTTATGCAAAAGCTATTTTTCGAAGCATGCATTTTCAGAATGTTTTCGGGCAACCATGTCACTTCATCAAAGCCAACATTTCTTTGAAGTGTATAATTTTGATTATTTAAATCATATAAAATTCAGAAAATGTATATAAATATAAAAGTCTATTGACATTTTATTTAGTGTATAGATTTGTGGTGTGTTTGTCTGTTCACTTTTTTTTCCTTGAATCTCTTTTGCGACGATAAGTTGTTATGTTTTTCAGTTCCCTTTGATATATATAAATATGTAATGTATGCATCTGTATGCCTACACAAACACATACACATACACTAGAGGAAGCGATGCAGTTGGTGAAATCTTTATTTTCTTTCTTTCCTCGGTTGAAAATTTCAACTTTATTTATTTATTTATGTTAAAATTGACAAACATGAATAAATGAACAAATGAATCGTGATCCTTCTAAACATTAATGTGTAAAAATTAGTTGATAATGTATACTTTTTTGTAAATACCATCGTTAGGTAATCTAATACTTCATCATCATCATCCTTACCTTTATCGCGTACAAACATGATTGGGCACATAGATTGTTTTTTTCACTCTTTTGGTAATCCCATTGTTAGATCAAATATCTTTCTTCTTTCATTGAATGTCTTGTAGTTTTGACATTTGAATATCCTATCATGCATGAGAATCAATAACAAACTGATAGAAGAATTAAAATTGTTTTATCTTCATTCTTCTAATTAATGTTTTATACTCAGAGAAATATATATATATAAATATATATATACATATGAGTTCATAAATCAGAAACTTATTCTAATAAAGCAAGTAGTGTACTTATCATCCTCGGTGCAGTTCAATCAAGCTTCAAAAAAGGCATTTTTTTCAAGTGGAGAAGATCAAACAAAGGGAGTTGAATCGATGGAGGAGGCATTGCGATTTCTTGAAGGAGAGATAGCTAGGAAGAAGTTCTTCGGAGGAAAAGATAGCACAGGGTTTCTTGATATTGTTGTTGGCTGGATTGCACACTGGTTCCAGTTTGTGGAAGAAGTAGGTCGTTTCAAGGTAATGGACAAAGTGAAATTTCCTGCATTTGATGCATGGATCGAGAACTTTCTAGACGTTCCAGTTATCAAGGAGAACCTTCCATCGAGCAAAGATCTGTGCGGCGCCTTCCAAGGGTTCAAACAGATGGAGCTTGCCATAGCAGATGATAGAGGTTAGGAAACAACCAGACCATTATTTTGCATGGCTTTTCTGTCTGAAACTTCAATGCAGTATTTTTTTTTTGGTAAATTACTGTGACCTCTCCCAAAATTTGTCTAAATTATTTATAGATGATAATATTTGAAAACACGTATAATAAGATGGATAGACAAAATGACATAGACAAGCACACTGCGTGATCGAGTTGACCCATGATTGTAAAAATAAAAAATAAAAAATAAAAAATTCGCTCAAAACTAGGTAGAGTAGCTTCCCAACATTTTTTTTCTTTGAATTATAATACTTAAAAGAGGTGTCACACTAATAGCCAAGTAGAAAATATAAATATATGCCCCACTATAGGATACTAGGAAGTCTTGTTTAGGAATTAATGTAAGTCTATGGTTTTGAGCCAATTTTTAATTAGGTAGGTAATTGGAGTTGTTAGGTTCCAAACCTGGAATATATAGATTAATCATTAATATGTAACTTGACTTTTTGTTGATATGGTTCTAAATTTTTAATTTTCAATTTCAGCATAACCATAGTTTTTATAATAATTTAGTGGCTATTGTAAACCGTGTTATTTTACAAGACACATGAGGTTAAGAACACATAAGAATGCTTTTGACCTTTTTATCAACAAGAGAAAGCTGATAGGAGTAGCTTTTTTCATCAAATGCCTTCCAAAATTTCAATACTGCTTAAAGATTCACATAATTGATCGTACAACTCTCTTATTGGTGGGTTTGTTGATAGGGATAGGGCCTATTCAGTTGTTGGGCCCAACCATTGGCCCAAAAATACATGCAACCAAAGATTTTGGGTCCAAAGGTCATCATTTAAAGACAGGAGTCGGTAAGTGTATGTTTGGTTTTTCATTTAAAACAGAAACAACGTTTTTGTTATAGAGTGTGCTCATTAGTGATTAGAAGTAGGTTTGATAACATAAAAATTGTTGCAAGATTTTTGGAAGCAAAATATGAAAACATGTCCGGTAAAAAACTACTACAAATTTTAAAAATATAATGGCTAATTTTAAAATATCATTTAAGAGCTTTTCAATTTTTTTTTTGGGTACTGTTCATTTCTATAATGTTATTGTTATAACTTACAATGCTTAAGCGTGTAAAAATACCAAATTGATGTTTCAACTTTAGACCACTATTTATGAAGCATTTTGGTATTTTACAAAACAAATCATTATTTACCAACCAACACGCCAATGGTCCAGCTATATCAGGCCCTATTAGTTGGTCTTTTTTTTTTTTTTTTTTTCTCTCTTATTTGATCTCTCTAGGACTCTTTCAAATAAAATTCACTGTAGTTTCCATCTATTTTCTTTCTATCTTTGTTGTTTATCCTTTTTACTCCATCTCAATCACAAAGGCCTTCCATTTTTTTATTTTTTTTTGTATGCTTCTTTTTGTCTTTTTCTATCTGGATCGAGAAGAAGCTATCAAAGTTGGAAAAATCTATACTTACTACACAAGAAAACGAAAGTTGAAAAGCTATCGAAAAAGAATACGACTTTTAAAGAGTATAAAATGCTACGTGGTTTATGATCATAACTGTTGAGATTTTATTAGGTTATGTCTTGTTATAACTTGTTCTCATCTTCATTGTCAATATTGTCAAAATTATTATGAGTTCTTTTTCAACTTCTCCCTGTATTCCTTTGATTAATCTCCTTTTTATTTCAAGTTGATAGTATCGAAAATAATTTGTGTTTTAATATATTGAGGACAATCTAAACACTAGTAAAAGAGGAAAGATGGTAGGGAGATGTGACAGAAAAATGTGAAAGAGAAACAAAATAGACTGAATGTATAAAAAGTGAGTTGAGAGTTGTATTAAAACAATTCAGGTTATTTTTGTCATCTAATTTATACAAATATTGAAGTGGAGGCCTTAATATAATTTTGGAGTCAGAAAAAAATGATAATAATAAAATAAAAACGATTATATATTGAAATTTTCAAAAACTCCCATTCCAAGTCCTTTCTTGGGCTTCTTTATTTTCTGTGTGTCCCAACAAGCATCCTCTTAGTTAGGTCCCTACATTTGTCTTCTACTCCCTTTCCTCCACCACCACCAACCCCTCTTTGTCTCTTCTGTTTGTTAAGTTGTCGTGGTGGTGGTGGTCTTTATTTATTTTTTAATGTAGAACCATTACTATATCATTCTTATTCTCGATCGAGTTGTCCACGGACTAAAAAATACAATAGTTTTATGATTAATCATAACAATAAATAAAGTATATGATATAAAATGTCCCCGTGAGTCGTGACCTTGGCAAATGCCTGCTAAAATATTGGAACAGAGACAAGTTGAAGGTGTATTGTTTGATTTTTTTTATATAAATAAAGTAAAATTAACAGTGTCTCTAAGTTTTTTTGCCCTTACTATATGTGTATATTTTTTTTATATATACACAAACTTATTATTTTTAGGTTACTATATTCTTTTAAAATCTTGTTTGAAAATCTATTATAATTAGGACTTTAACCGAGTAAATAACAAAAATAAAAGTAATCAATACGAGGTGGATGACAACATGATAATAATTTGTTATCCTATCTTAACATTGTAGGTTGATTTTTAGTTTAATTTACACTTTTTTTTTTTATTTTTTATCTAGAGTTAGGAGGATGGGAATTTAATCCTAGAATCGTAGGGTGAGAAACTTTTAAGATCTAACCCTTTGTTATTCGAATAACACCGCAACACCTTTTTACCTGTACTAATTCGGTATTTGGTACATTAAATTCAAGAAATATTTACAAATTGAAAATATTATAAATTTAATATCAAACACGGACAAAATTGAATTCATGAATTGAAAAAATAAACTGGTTCAAAGCAGCCAATTCATAATCAGTGTATGAGTGCATGACTTACGGCATCATAGATTCATAGTTCAATAATTGAACCTTCTTGGATTTAAATTGTTTCCTCTTTTCATTATTTATTTTTGCATATTAAAATTTTAAATAATACTAATAATAATCAAATTATTGTCTGTATTCTAGCTGGGGTACAGCGAATAAAAGAGAATGGAGATCACTCTACACGTAATCAGTTCTGGAATTTTTAAGTCCTAAATTACACAATTTTTTTTAAGGATGTTATTCTCACGTTCCGAGCGTGTGCTTTCGCTTTGATTTTTATTCTGCTTCACTTAAATTTTGTCACTTCCACACCCACGCTCTTGAATTTGCTCTTACTCACACTCACTTAAATCGAGTCCACTAACTTATTCTTTATATTTCCATTCTCCCTCTGCACAGGAGAAAAGGATCCAAATTCAAAAACAACATAAATAGAAGTAGCAGAAATAGAATTCTCCAGAAAGAAAGCATGGGTGAGTCTGATCTGAAGCTTGTGTGCACAAAAGAGAGCCTCTTCACCCATAGAGTTATATGGGCACTGAAACTGAAAGGCATTGAGTATGAATTTGTAGAAGAAGATCTCTTCAACAGGAGCCCATTGCTTCTGCAGTCCAACCCAATCTACAAGAAGCTTCCAATGCTCATCCATGGTGGAAAACCCATCTCCGAATCACTTGACATTCTTGAATACATAGATGACACGTGGAAACACAATCCCATCTTGCCCAAACATCCTCAACAAAGAGCTTATGCACGTTTCTGGGCTAAATTTGTAGATGAAAAGGTAACACTTTCATTTCATTTCTATTTTTTGGTATATATATATATATATATATATATATATTGAATAGCATGTTTTATGATCTAATCTTGAAGTGTAATCTTTAAGCATTACGATTCCTTGAAGGAGAAGATCAAGCGAAGGAGTTGAATCAATGGAGGAGGCATTGCGATTCCTTGAAGGAGAGATAGCTGGGAAGAAGTTCTTCGGGGGAGAAGATGGCATAGGGTTTCTTGATATTGTGGTCGGATGGATTGCATACTGGTTCCAATTCGTGGAGGAAGTAGGTGGTTTCAAAGTAACGGACTCGGTGAAATATCCTGCATCTGATGCATGGATCAAGAACTTTCTAGACGTTCCGGTCATCAAGGAGAACCTTCCATCACAGGAAGACCTGCGCCGCGTCTTCCAAGGATTCAAACAGATGGGGCTTGCCACAGCAGATGCTCGAGAGGCCGTTGCTTTGCATGGATAGAAAACAACCACACCATCGCTTAATTTGCATGGCTTTTCTGTCTGATCCTAGAATGCATTGTGTTTTCAATAATAGGTCTGCAGAATATTGCTGTATTCAGCAATGGAATTATGGAACGCGTGTTTAATTTTCAGTCTCCTAAACCCTCCTCTCAATTTAGAAGACAAAATTGGGTAAATTGCACTAAATCATGAGCAAATATATATATTCATTGGATTCTATTTATTTAATTATAAACATAAATATACCAATATGCCAGTAACTTAGTGGTACCAAATTCATACTTTAAAAAAAAAAAGGGATAAGATTCAAGTCTCAGTAGAGGCTTGTAGGTACCTTAAAACATTCCTAAAAAAGAGAATAAAAGTTTCATTAGTATCTTCTTAAGATTAAGTTCCACTCTTCCGCTTAGCCCAATGTAATATTGATCCCTCCCTCCCTCCCATGTTGTCCATGTTTAGTTTTTGAAGTTTTTAAATGCATTGTCTCCTTTTTAAAGTTACCAATTTATGTTTTTTTAGTTTAAATGTATATATTACCAAGTTTGGAATTTTTTGAAATTATAAAGGGCAATAATGAAATATGATATTTATTTGCTTTGATTTTTTTAAGAGGATAATTAATTTGGGACATTCAAAAATAAAATAGTGAATTACTAATATAGGACAGTAATTTATTTATAAATATAATTTGGTTAACCTTTCAAGAAAGAAAAAAAAATCATATAAGAATGCTTTTTATCATCAAGAGACAGCTAATAAGTAGCCTTTCAATACTGCTTTATAAATCTATAATTGATCCAAGTACTCTGTGTTGATAAGGATAGGGCTACTCATTTACTGGGCCCAACCATTGGCCCAAAAAGCATGCAACCAAAAGATTTTTGTGTCAAAAGGTCATCATTTAAAAGCACGAGTACCTAATTAAAAATGAAACCATCAACCTAGTGGTTTAGTGGTAACAATCGTAATTTGTATATTACACACCTTTATACCAGATTCTTTTACAACATTAATATCTTGTTTGAAAGTCAACTATAATTACAATATTTATATAGTAAAGATTTGTTGTTCTTGATGCTTATGGACAAAATCCAATCCACCATTTGAAGAAAAATATTCGAAAATATGAGAGGGAAACCCATTTAAAAGCATTGTATTACTTAGGAGTTAGGATCTCATGGTTCAATAATTCAACCTTTTTGGATTTAAATTGTTTTCACTTTTCATTATTTATTTTTGTATATTACAAATTTAAAAACAAAAAACAAAAACATAATTCGAACACTCCACGCTCTCCCATTGAGAGCTATGAAGTCCATTGCGGACTGGGACGGAGTCAGGAGAGGATTGGGGGGCACACTGTGATACCCCTCGATTCTAGAGTCACGGGTGATCAAGTCCGAACATAGATCCGAGGGATACCAAACAATTAATATGTAAACAAGCAAGAATACAAAAGATTTAAAAATAGAATAATAAGCTGAAAATAATTCTAAATACAAGAATCCTCCAAATACAAATATTAATATAATTTAATTTTCCCAATCTATACAATTCGGGAATCCATCCAGTGGACCTCTAATAATTCCAAATGAAAATAAATTACATAACCAAAATCCCATCACTAAATACGAAAGAAAATCCTATGTAATCGGAAGAGTGAATGTCTGTATCTGCATCATCACGATCAAGCTCAAAGCCTGCTACTGACGAACACCTGAAAAATAAGAGTGGGTCAGGCCCACATGCAAGTTCCATCCTACTACAATCTATACATAAACCCGATACGCAGATACATCCTAGATAACTTGGCAATAACTAAAATAGTCCAAATATATATATATATATATACACACTATAGGATGCTCACTAGCCTATAGTGTAGTTCAACTTGCATAGAAGGAAATATGTAAGTCACACTTTCCAGTGACCATGTGCATCTCCTGTCAGGGAACATCAGGTATATCTAGTTACTCAACCTTTGCGATATACGCATCCTAACCATGATTCTAAGACTGAAGCTCATATCATAGTACCATAAGTATATATATAAATCATTCCTAATGCAGAAAAGAAAAACAAACATCCGTTATGTCGTTCAACTGTTTTAGTTGACAGGACATGCATCCATGTAGGATTTAACTGTTTTAGTTAATCCATTCCGTATGTATGAAGAGGTAGGACTTAGCTTTTTGATCTAATCCATCTCCAATATGCCACCGTCCCATACTGGTGCATGTAATGCATATGATCCATAAATGATGCACACTCAAATGAACATCAAGTATATCCAGAAACAAACATAATAGAAGTCAAATATATGCAAGGTTTTATTATGTATCCGGTATATAATTCTAACCATATATTCTCCATTTAAAGCGCTAAGTACAATAAACAATTTAAATCATCCATATCCATATAATTGACAGAACAGAAATTATAACAGTTCATCGATTAACATCCATAGCACGATATAATAATAAACAGAATTATAACTGAACACATTATACTAGAATGCCAAAAATACCTCCATATTAGTCCATTTGATTTGCTAAATTAAACCAGAAATCAAATCCTCCTCAATTTTTGACGGCATGCAGATTACTATTCAAATCTCACGACGTCCATTCAATCCTTAACTATAAATCCTGTGCATGATCTAATGACACTTAGAAGTCTAAACTGCACATTATGAAACCCCAATAGTATTTTGATACTAGTCCATTTAAATTAGTTAAAACACAACCAGCGAGTAAAACTTCCTCAAGACTGTTTCCCCTTCTCTGACCACTATTCTCTTCCTGTGTTACTTCTTGGTTCAACCCACGAGCAACTCCCCTTTACAAATCCCTTGCCCCTTTGTTTAACTATCAAGACATTCTCTGTTTTGCCTCCCCAAAACCCTCTCTGTTTCTCCTTCTATGTTTTTACCTCAAACCCTCTGTGTGTTATGGAAAAAAGGGTTCTAAAACCCTTGCAGACATATAGCTTATATATATATATAGGCTCCTGTAAAATCTTAATCTTAATTCCAGCCTAATTATATGTCGGCTACTTCCTAACTCAACATGATTACAAGAACATAAAACCCTAACATCATTAATAATACAGCATACTATAATACACGTTATTTAATACCGATAAATCAAATCATTAAATTAAATCACAATTAAATAATTAAAGCAAAACAAATAAATAAATACAATTAACCACTTAAGTTAAATAATTACACAAATACAATTTAACAATAAATTTCATAACACACAATTAAATCACAATTAAACAAGTCACTTAATTAAATAAAAATACAAATAAAAAAATATTAAATTCTCATTTTATACTTTTGAAAACTAGGGGTATTACACATGCCCTAAGTTACACAATCATTTTCGCTCTCACGTTCCGAGCGCGCTCTGGCTCAAATTCTCATTATTTATGACTTAATTATGCCGCTCTCATACTCCAATTCTTGAATTTGGTCTCACTCCCACTTTATGTGACTTACTGCACGCCTCCTCCCTCCCGAAATTTCTCATTCCCTTATATATTATATATGTTTCCTTAAACATTTTTTCTTAAATACCTATATATAAACACTAATTTATATGTATTTAGTGTACAATGTGGCACTGAAAAAACAGTTCTACCCCCGGGAAGACCGTCAAGTCAATTCTGCCTGTAAAGTCCACTCACTGGCTCTCTATCTCTCCCTTCTCCCTCTAGAAAAAGATCAAAATTCAAAACGAACATATATAAATAAGAAGTAGCTGCAGAAATATAATGGTCCAGAAAGAAAGCATGGGTGAGTCCTCTGATCTGAAGCTTCTTGGTACAAAAGAAAGCATGTTCACCTACAGAGTTATATGGGCACTGAAATTGAAAGGCATTGAATATGAATTTGTGGAAGAAGATCTGTTCAACAAGAGCCCATTGCTTCTGCAATCAAATCCAATCTACAAGAAGGTTCCTGTGCTCATCCATGGTGGGAAACCCGTCTCCGAATCACTTGTCATTCTTGACTACATAGACGACACGTGGAAACACAATCCTATCTTGCCCAAACATCCTCAACAAAGAGCTTATGCACATTTCTGGGCTAAATTTGTAGATGAAAAGGTAACACCTTTTTTTTTTCTATTCTTTTTTGTATGTAAGCTTACTTACCACACACACACACACACACACATATATAGTGTAATCTTTAGCTCTAAAAAATTGTTTTGAGTTTTCTCAACATGGGTATTATTACCTTGGGAGCTGTTATTGATCTCAATATATATATTTTTATTATTATTATTTTTTTTTACACTACAAATTTGTATGAGTTTTATCACAATTTCTTCATTTTTGGACATAGATCTGACCTCAGATTGACTCTGTTTAAGATGATAAATTTTTTAGGCCTTGACTACAGTCTCAGAACAACCCATTAGGCTTACCAGAATTATCTCGAAATGATTGAACATTTACATTATGCAAAGGTTTTCACTTTGATATATATAAAATATTTTTCGAAGCTAACATTTTCAGGCAAACATTCAACATCTACTATGTCAAGCTTGCGATCACATCATTAAAGCCAACATTTCTTTGAAGTATATAATTCTAATTAGTTAATTTATATTAAATACAGAATATGTAAAAAAAAACCTATTAAGATTTTCTACAGTGTTTAGATTTGTGGTGTACTGTTTGTCTGTTCTTTTTTTATTTTTTTATTTTTTATTTTTTTATTTTTTTTTCTTTTTACCTGAATCTTTTTTATGACCATTAGTTTTGCTATTTTTTTGTCCCTTTGATATATGTAACGTATGTATCTGTGTGTCTACACACACACACATATAGATTAAAGAACAAGCTGTTTGTTCTGTTGTGAAGTGTGAATTAGCTCTTAATTTCTGTCTTGCTTCTGTTGTGAATTAAGTGTGAATTAGCCAGCAAGCTGTGGGGTTATTTTTACTTTGTCCTTCCAGCTTCAACCTCTGTTAATAGCAGTCCAATTGTATCTTGAAAAATACAACTTTTTTGGTTAAAATTGACCACCATGAACAAATGGATCTCTTTCCATGTCTCTGTATTCATATACACAATGATTCTTATACACATGGTGTAAGAATTAGTTGATCTTAGCCCATTAATATATACCCTTTTCAAAGTTCTATCTTTCGACAATTTTTATTATAGAGTAGAATATCCTATTATATCTATTATCCTTCTTCTTTCATTAAATATCATGTAGTTTTTAAATTTTAACTAATAATTATATTCTTGAAGGTCCTCTTTATTTTTTTTTTCATGAGCAAATCAAATAACAAACTGGTAGAAGATTTAAAATTGTCTGATCTTCATGCTTTTAATTAATGCTGAGAAATACAAGAATTCATAGATCAGAAACTGATTCAAATATGTAACACACACACACACACTTGATAGCATGCAGAACACCCCTCTTTGAAATAAAATGTTTAAGCATATATTTGGAAGAAGTAACAAAATTCATTGTATTGCCTTGTAAAAAAAAAAAAAATTTGTATTGCTTACTTAAATGCAATTTTTCATTGAATTTGCCTTCATTTCTATATTTGTTTTTGGAGTTATTCTAATCAAGCAAGGTACTTATCATCCTTGGTGCAGTTCTATGAAGCTGCAATCAAGGCATTTTTTTCAGGGGGAGAAGATCGAGCAAAGGGAGTTGAATCGATAGAGGAGGCATTGCGATTTCTCGATGGAGAGATAGCTGGGAAGAAGTTCTTCGGAGGAGAAGATAGCATAGGGTTTCTTGATATCGTGGTTGGATGGATTGCATACTGGTTCCAATTTGTGGAGGAAGTAGGTGGTTTCAAGGTAATGAACTCAGTGAAATTTCCGGCATTTGATGCATGGATCAAGAACTTTCTAGAAGTTCCTGTTATCAAGGAGAATCTTCCATTGCGCGAAGATCTGTACCGCGTTTTCCAAGGGTTCAAACAGATGGGGCTTGCCACAGCAGATCCCAGAGGATAGAGAACAGCCAGACTTTTACTTTGTGTGGCTTTTCTGATTGATCCTATAATGCAGTGTGTTTTAACAATAGGTATGCAGAATATTGTTATATTAAGCAATTATGGAAGGCATGTTTAATTTTCATCTCTCTTGACTGAACCCTCCTCTCAGTTCAGAAGACAAAGTTGGGTAACTTGCATTAAATCATGAGCAAATATATATATTCATTGAATTTGACTACTTATTTGGTTCTAAAAAATATATATTTGTAACCAGTCCTTGGCTAATAATAGCAGTTCTGTCTAACAAGGTTAAGTTAACAGGCAAGGAACACTAAAACACTATCAGTGTGACACACAGGAGTTCATTGAATTATTGGTTTGTAGGGAACAATGCATTTGTGTTACACAAGTTGGCTAGAGATGATTCCGTGAGTATCCGATTGAATGGTAATTTTTTATTTATTTTTGATTCTCGATGTTGGAAGCAGAACAAGTGCAAACATACTTTGATTCGACGAGAATATCATTTAGAACAAGTATGTGAGTGAGGAACACTTGTGCATATTTTTAAAGTTGGGTGGAAGAGCAAATGTTGGAAATAGCATTCAGCATGGTCTTACCGGTTGCATTTTCTTCTTTTATGATTGTCTAAACACCTATAAATATATCGTATAATATTCAAGTTTTCAAGCCCTAGGAGAGAGCCTTAGAGAGATTTTGCAAAAATTTCTTATTTTTCAATCCGAGAACAAACTTATTATACACACGAGTGGTTTAGAAAGTGTTTCTCCCTGTGAAAGAAGTCTGTTCTCATCAAAAAAACACTTTTGCTACCGGTCATAAAAGCAGTTTTGGTTTTCTACTTCAAAATTCAGAATTTAAAGAAAGAAGGAATTGATCACATTACGAATGGATCAAAGCATTCACGGAATGTTTGTGATCTTCCAATAACCCTTCTACAAGGATTGAGGAGTAAACCTAAAGTCTGCAACAATTGGACGTGAAGTCACAAGAGTCAGCCTCAGATGTTCAACAATTAGTTCTCGGTAGAGCAGAGTGGATGTGAGCCTAAGTCAGATTTTATTATATTTTGCTTCAAAAGATAGTAGATCATTTCGATAAAGACTGCAAAAGTTTCCGTAGTTTTCATTCCGGTTGATCGAATTTCTTCCAACTAGGATTTCCACGCACAAAAACTCCAGTGTCATCTCTCAAACTTTATTTTACTTTATTTGCAGTTTATTTTTACTTTGTGTGTTTAATTTTACTTTTATTTTGGTAAAATTAAAATAAATAAAAATTAGATAAAGGAGTAAGTAAAACATATTCACCCCTCTAAGTTATTTTTACATGAAACTCTCATATTCATTCGCATTGTGCAACTCACAATTTAGATTATTTTTTAAAAATAGGGTGTTTTTTTACATTTCATGTGTTTTCTTTAAGGTAATTAGGATGGTAGCACTTCCTACAAAAATTGCATTACCTTACTGAATATTTGGGTCATTCCCTAAAGTTGGGGGACACATAACCTCATGTGAGGGGCAATACTGAATTTTTTTAATAATTTAAGGGGAGGCAAAGATAATATTTCAAAATGACAAAAACAAGGAACATGATAAAAATAAATAAATAAATAATAAAAAATCAGGGGCCTGTCAAAAGTCAAATTTTCTTATATATATATATATATACAGTAGTGTTCAATTGCTCTCTGGTGAGTAAGGAGCAATATACTCACTTTTACTCATAGCCTTTGGATCTAATCCAACGGCAACTAGACCTGTAATGGATCGGATTTTGATCCGAATCCGATCCGGTTAGTCGGATATGGATTGAACAAAAAATCCGATAACCCGTTTATGATCCGAATCCGATAACCCGTTATCTTAACAAATCGAATATGGATTTTACTGATCCGACCCGATAATAATCCGATCCGAATTTAAATTTTATATATATATATATAAGTCCAGCCCAAAACCCATCTCCAAGCCCACTATTTATTTGCAAGCCCACTTCTTATTCCCAAGCCCATTCCGCCTTTAATCTATCAAAACCCTAACCCATATCGCACAGCAACATTATCTCTTCTCTCACTCACAGTACCCTTGCCGCAAAACCACAATTTCCCCAAACACTCCCACGTAGTAAAGTTGCAACACAAATCAGAAAAATGAACCCATCAATCGACGACCAGCTGCAAAATATTACTCCTTTCAGGTTAGTGTTCTTCTTTTCTCTCTCGTCCGATCTCACTTCTCTCCTCTTCATACTTTTTTATTTTATTTTATTTTTGAAAGTTAAAAAAAGAAGAGGTATTTTGAAATTTGGGGTGTAATGAAATTTTCCATCTGAATCATTATATATATATATATATATATATATATATATATATATATATATATATATATATTATATGTTGAATTACACCAATTCGTATTTGTGATGTTGAAATTTCGTACTATATGACCTCTATTGTTTACAAATAGGACTTGATAGACATTATTCAGTTTTTTGGTTTCTATGTTTACAAGATGCCCTAATTTGTGTGGTTTGTTTGTTGATTTGTGCAAGTGTGTATCGGATCGGACATCCGATAATCAAACAAATCGGATACGGATTGACTCAGTAAAAATCCGTCGGATTATCGGGCCGGATCAAATCACTCATTATGCTTATCGGATTCGGATCGGATTGACCATAATCCGGTTCAAATCCGATCTTTAACAGGTCTAACGGCTACTAGAAAGAATCATTATTTTAGGAAATTAACATTATTTTAATTAGTCATTAATTATGAAATGATTATATTAAATACATTGTTAAAGAAAAAAAAAAAATTTAACCATGAACTACCATCACCCCACCATTATTGTCACCTTTACCCCACCACCACCTCCCTCACCACCACTACCCCGCCACCACCACTGCTACACAACCACCACCACCTACACCACACCACCTCTACCTAGTGATGGGTGGCAGCATGGTGGTGGTAGAGGTGGCAGTATGTGGTGGTGGTGGGTGGCAATATGGTGGTGATGGAGGTGGCAGTGTTGTGGTGTGGTTGAGGGATATGGTCGTGGCAGTAGGGGAGGAGGTGGGTGGTAGTGACGGACCGACAGTGGTGGAAAGGGGTATAGTTAAAGTTTAATTAGATTAGAAAAATTATTATATATTTTTAAAAAAAAGTATCCAATATAGTCATTTCATAATTAATGACTAATTAAAAGATAGACAATTATCTAAAATAACTATTATTTCAATTAGCCATTGAATTAGATCCTAAAGTTATGAGTAAAAGTGAGTATATTGCTTCCTACTCACCAATGAGCAATTGAACACTACTCTGTGTGTGTGTGTGTGTGCGTGTGTATATATATTTTGTGCGTCGCACTGAACAACTCCATTGTTTGTCTGTTTCTTCTATGGGTTTTTGTGCTGCTCTTTCATTTTTTGTTCCTTCCTTTTAGATTATCATGGCCTTAGAGCATCTCCAATGCCCTCTCAAATGACCTCTCAAACTCAAAATATGGCAAGTGGATGAAAATAAGACACTCCAATGGCCTCTCAAATAGCCTCTCATATTTTGAGATTGTCAAAAGTATTGCCAAATATAACAGCTCTCAAATGACCACTCAAACTCAAAATATAGTAAGTGGATGAAAATAAGTCACACCAATAGGTTCTCAAATGATATCTAATATTTTGAGATTGTTAAAAGTTGTTAAAATGAAAATAAGGCACTCCAATGAGCTCTCAAAATATAGAATAGTTGTTGTATTAAAAAATATCATTTTGAATGAAATGCACCATTGGAACAGAATTGTAAAAATATAACATTTTGATACTGTAACTCTTCTTAAAATATAAATTTAACATAAAAATATAATATTTTGCATTGAAAATGCTCTTATATTATAGTACCATACTATATCATTTTTATTCTCGATTGAGGTGTCCACAGCTGAACAAATACAGTTCATAACAATCAAGAAGTACAATTTAATATGGAACTTGACCTTGGCAAGTGGACTAATAAAAATATTGGAAGAGACATTGGGTAAAAGACAGATTGTCTAAATTTTTGTACATAAAAACATTAATTTAAGAAATTTTAAAACAATAACTATCTTAACTTAATAAAGTAAAGCTAACATGTGACAACTTGTTGGTTTTATTTTATTTTATACATCCATTCATGAGAAACAGAGAAAGTATATAACACCTACTGTTATTTTTATGTGGCACTCTCTCAATACACAGTTATAAAAACTCTTAATTTACATGATAAATAGATAATTTTTAAAACAAGCTGAATTATGCATCGAGTCAGAATATGATAAAATATCTATATAGTATGGTATATTTTTTTCATTCACAAAAATTCTGACAATAGAGCTCAAATCCCTCACCACTCCTCTGAATGAGGGGAATTAGTTGGGCTCTGACGGTCTCACCACGTACTCCTTTCAGTGAAGGAAGTTATTGTTAGGATATGTGTGCCCTAGCATAGCAAATTCTAATTTTGGATTGTAAAAGTCATGGTTTCTTATCTGGATATTATTATTAAAGCATTATACAATTGGTGAATGGAATGTATTATTTTTCGATTCATTATGGAATTGATTGTGTCCACTTGATTACAAAATATTTTTATATATGTATGTAATGGCAATTAATACTATGTTATAAATTAGTAATCATAAATGGTTTAAAGTCAGTAATTATGGATAGACATTTAATTAGTTAAGACTTAAACCGAGTCCACGATAGATTGAGATATATTACGAGAGTTGTCGTATGCAATTGCTGTCTATCACAGTCATGGCTTTTGACTCTCAAGCATGAGAGAAATATAGACTATTTTATTAATTAATAATTACTTTGATTTGTTCGGCGGATACCTCGGGATCCTTAGATCGACACTTTGGGTAGTTATGTAATTAATAATTAGAGATCTATATTCTTAATATTTGCATCAGTACTATTTGTATTTATTTTGTTTTGATTATGGTTGATCACAAATTAAATTCGAAGGCCTTCGTATGTTTTAGACAAATGTTTTCTATATATATTTATTTAATAAATTATTATTATTTTTTGTCAAATAAATATTTTATTGTGATCGAGCCGGAAATAATCGAAGGTAACAAAATAATTATATTAATTATGTTGTCGGATTGATGGCTTTAATTATCCGATAAATAATTAAGCATAGAGGGGTCAAAGTGCAACATTGACTTAGAGGTTATTTACTATTTAATTGGAGTGCAATTAATTTCTTTTAGTGGAGTAGAAATTAATTTATGAATTAATTGAATTGGGTCCATGGTTTAATGGACCGGACCAATTATTAATTTATAGGAGCCAAGAAAATAGTAAGTCCAAAAGGATTCTCACCAATAGCCCAAGTTGATATTGGAGTCATGTTAGAATTGAGAAAGTTGAATTAGAGATGGAGAATGATTTATTATTTCCTTATTCTTATTTTTATTTTGCCTATATATACATGAGTTCATGTATATTTTAGGTGTGACTTTTAGAACAAGAAAAAGGAATACATTTTCTCTCTCTAGATTTTAGAGTTTTGTTTTCTCTTCTAAAGGAGGCTACCACAAGCCTAGATTCCAAGGTCATTCATCAAGGCATATTGGTGATTCCTAAAGGAAAGATAATAATCAAGAAAAATGAGAAAGGATCTTGCTAAAGGGATCTACAATAAGTGAGAACATTCACTTTAGAGGAAAGTTCAAAAGGTTTACTCAGACCTTTGATGTAAGTATTCAATCTGTTTATTGAATTATGCATCATCTTTTATTTATCTTTGCATAAAACTTGTTTATGTAATGAATCAAGATCCATGATTGCAAATCCCTCAAAAGTTTTAAAAATTTGCACGTTTCCCAATAGTTATACTAATTAGGCTCTAACGGTTGAGTGATTGTTGGATTTAAATTCTTTTCTCCTTTTTCCTTATTTATTTCTGTAAATTAAACTAACTATAAAAGGACAAAAAAAGAGAAAGATTTATCTGGTGATATATCACGTCTCTAGAACTCAATCAATTATATCTTGTCACATAACTAAAAATACAATTACTAACTTACTTATCCAAAAAAAATTGCATTTACTATATAATTCCATTAATATTATCAATACGATGTTAATCAGGCCTATTCGTCTGGCCGAATAACCTGACCCAGTTAATTATTATCATCATATGTCTTAAAGTGGATCCTATCATAGACCTACTTTAACTCATATCAAAATTATAATTAGGTTATAAGTGATTCGATTGGCCTATTGGACTGACATTCACTTTGAAAACCATTTTTCCATCAACATACCACACAGAGGCGGCTCAATATAATTTGAGGCCTTAGGCGAAAAATATAAAAGTAACATTTTAATATCTAATATATAGTCAATCTAATTAATATTTTTTGTCGCATAATTAATCTTAGAGTTATACGGCTTATAATGAATGAAAATTGAGGAAAAATATGTAAGGAAAAAAAAATTAAAAAAAAACGTTAAAAGAAAGATAAAAAAACAAAAAAATTTGAAGTCTTCCTCCATTAAGGTACTTTCCAAGAAAAAAAAAAAAAAAACAATACTCCACATAAGAAAACTAAGAAGTAACAGAAGGGAAGCATGGGTAAGTCTGATCTGAAGCTTCTGGGCACAAAAGCAAGCCTCTTCCCATATAGAATTGTGTGGGCACTGAAATTGAAAGGCATTGAATATGAGTTTGTAGAAGAAGATCTGTTCAACAAGAGCCCATTGCTTCTTCAATCCAACCCAATCTACAGGAACGTTCCAGTGCTCATCCATGGTGGAAAGCCCATATCTGAATCACTTGTCATTCTTGAATACATAGATGACACATGGAAACACAATCCTATCTTGCCCAAACATCCTCAACAAAGAGCTTATGCCCGTTTCTGGGCTAAATTTGTAGATGAAAAGGTAACACTTCCTCTCACCATATGATATATGTATTGAATAGCATGTCTTATAATCTCATTATGGTACAGTAACCTTTAGCACTACTATTTTGTTTTGAGTAAATTTTCTCAAGATGGGTATTATTATTATTTTTACACTACAATTTTGTATTTGTTTTCTCCAGTGTGTGTGGGGTACTATATATCCACTTAGGAAGCTGTTATTGATCAAAATTTATTCATTTTTGGGACACATTATTACAGATCTGACCTACAGTTGCTCTGTTTAAGATGACAAATTTTTTTTTTTAGGTGAAATCGATGACTATGATCCCAGAACAACCAACTAGGCTTGCAACAATTATCTCCAAATTATTGAACATTATGCAAAAGATTTTATTTGAAAGGTATTATGCCAAAGTTTTCACTTGGAGATGTATATATATATTTTTTTACACCTAACATTTTCAGGAAAACGTTCAATATCTTCTTTTTTTTGTTTCAATTTTAGAATGTTTTCAGGCCAACATTTCTTTAAGTTTTATAATTTTAATCAATTAAATTATATAAAATTCAGCACATTTATATATGTATAACAAAATAAAACTATTAATATTTTATATAGTGTATAGATTTGTGATGTGTGTGTGTGTGTGTGTTCTCTTTTTCCCCCTGAATCTCTTTTATGACCATAAGTTGTGCAAATTTTTTCATTTTATAGATTTGTAGTGTGTTTGTCTTTTCACTTTTTTTCCTGAATATCTTTTATGATCATAAGTTGTGTTTATTTATTTATTTTCCAAGTTTTGTGGTTTTTTTTTTATTTGGGTAAATTAATCTGATCTTCTCTTCTTGTCCAATTAGGTGCACATGAAACTTTTTATAAAAAATTACTTTGGCACACTTAGTATATACTCCTTCGGTCCCAAAATAGTTGACTGCTTTGTGAATTGATTGTGAATCACAGTTCTCAAAGCACCCAATTATTTTGGAATGGAGGGAGTAAAAGGCTTATGTAGTATACTTGTTATCATCCTTGGTGCAGTTTTGTGAAGCTGCAAGGCAGGCATTTTTTTCAAGTGGAGAAGATCAGGCAAATGGAGTTGAATCGATGGAGGCGGCATTGCGGTTTCTTGAAGGAGAGATTGCCGGGAAAAAGTTCTTCGGAGGAGAAGATAGCATAGGATTTCTTGATATCGTGGTCGGTTGGATTGCATACTGGTTCCAGCTTACGGAGGAAGTAGGTGGTTTCAAGGTAATGGACTCGGTGAAGTATCCTGCATTTGCTGCATGGATCAAGAACTTTCTAGACGTTCCTGTTATCAAGGAGAACCTTCCATTGCGCGAAGATCTACGCCGCCCCTTACAGGGGTTCAAACAGATGGGGCTTGCCAGAGCAGATGATGCTAGAGGACAGAAAGATCAAGAACTTTCTAGACATTCCTGTTATCAAGGAGAACCTTCCAGGGGGTTCAAACAAATGGGGCTTGCCAGAGCAGATGAAGCTAGAGGATAGAAAACAACCAAACCATGCATTACTTTGCATGGCTTTTCTGACTGATGTGTGTTACAGTGTTGTGCCAGAATTTTATTTTATTTTATTTTTCTCTTTCAATTGTCTGAATAAAAAGGTCTCCAGAACATTGTTGTATTCAGCAAAGGAATTATGGAAAGGCATGTTTAATTTTTCATCTCTCTTGGCTAAACCCTCCCCGCAATTCAAAATATAAAGTGGGGTAAATTGCACTAAATCATGGGCAAATATATTCTTTGGATTTTATTTATTTACTTATAAACATAAATATATTTGTTATAAATATACACACAAAATTTAAAACAGAGTATCTGGTTAGAAACATACATATATATGTTATATGTATACACATAAATATTAAGTTCCCTCAAAACTTGCATGGTATTGTGATCCAGTTTGGTATTCTATCCTCATCACAGAATTGCTTTTCTACCATGTTTGAGTAACAATTTGAATTTAGAATTGGAAAAAAATTTGTTTAAAATTTAAAATGAATTTTTTTCAATTCCAATCCGTGGCCAATTTGGTGCTCCAAACGCAACTTCTAGTGAAGAATCTGGTTGATAACTTCTTTGCTTGAAAATTTTGAAGTTACCTCCCCTCGCTCTTTACTTCTAGTTTGGATAATCTGAATCCGGTGAATGAAATTACAGTTCTGTCCTCGTTCTTTTAATGCATTTTAAATCCAAAAAAATCTTACATTGTAAATTATGATTAACAGTTGTACAAAGATTTTTGCCCATCATTGTTCTATAAGCCAAAAAAGTAGAGAGAGAAATTTGTGTTTCTGCGCTGCTTTGTCACTTCGTCTTCAGTCTCGTCCTCAACCTGTTGACCCACCATGACCACCGTCGGCACACCACTCTCTCAGCCAGGTAACGGTCGAAATTCCGGAACCCTTCGCCATTGAATGACAACATTATCGTGCGCGTAACCCGACAACACCCTCAAACCTGCGCACCCCTCCCTCCATTTCTCTTCTCCCCATCCTCACCCTGATCTCCTTCCTCCACTATGGCTCCTGCCCTCACTCCCCTTCTCTCTGTGTCGCCAAATACACTTCCTCTCTCCTCTATCATCTCTCTCTTCACACTCACCCTTCTCTCTACGCTCCTCTCTTCACTCCTCTCCTACATCAACCTTTTCAATTCCCACAAAGTCCCACGCGAACGCAATTCTGTGAACTCTGGCCAACTTTTCGTCATCTCGACCAAGATTTAACCCCCATTGCCGACTCAATCACTTCAAGACATCCTCGACCCGTTGACGCTTCATATTGGGAGGCGGATTCACGATCCAAGAGATGGCTTGCCGTGGGATGCCAAGGCGAAGTTCTTCCTCTACATTCATCCTCCTATTAGTAATTCTGTGAGTTTTTTTGAGACCCGTGGCCTTCATCTTTCTGTAATGGACTTGTACGTATGCAGAACATGTGCATTACAGAACACCGTGTATTTGATAGAAGCTACGAGGGCAATTTGTTTAAAATAGACCTTTTTTTAGGATGAGAGAGAATTGACACGAGTGTTAACTGCTTTTTTAGGATAAGAGAGTAAGCTAGGTGTGCTTGTTACAATGGAAGCTAGGCGTGCTTGTTACAATGGATTTAACTGGAGGGGAGGCGAGTGGAATTATCCAAACTGGAGGGGAGGCGAGCGTAATTTGACCTATTTGCAAAGAGATAACTGTAATTTACCCTAATCTGAAATGTTGTAAGAAGGTGGGGATGCCTAGAGTATCCATTGCACCAACCAAGTTCCTGAAGAACAGAAGTACTACGAAATTTTCAACAAGCTATTGGAAGAGTTAAAACAATGTCATTAAATCCGCAACCCGAAAGAGATTCGTAAGATGCAGAGTCTTTCAAAATTTTAATTCAAAAACTCTAAATTCAATCAGTACATAATATAAAAACTTAGTGAAATCAAAATGGAATCTCAACGGCAAATTGCCCAAAGAGCCAATTCCGAATAGCAATGTCAATTACTGCCGCACTTCAACTTTCTTTTTCTGCCAGAGCCGATCAAGAGCGCTGTCAGCATCTCCCTGCAAATAATTGCCATTTGACAAAGCTCAATGACATCCATATATCAACATATCAACAAAAAATGGAACACATGGCCCACCCAAAAAAAAAAATCTTTTAATCAAGAATAACATGCATTATAAACAAATGTTTAAAGTTGCACATATAGCTCTCAGCATCTACAAATTAAACATCTGATAGTTAAGCGCAATCCCACCAGATTCAAGAGAAAAGTATAATTTCTTTAATTTCATTTAAGAGGATCACAATCCCTTGCACCAAGATATCAATAATAAGTTGACAATCATGTAGCAAGGATCATTATCGGACTCTAAGCACTATTGCGAAAAAATCAATTAAGATGGTTTGACCAACAACTGCACAAGTGAGGGAATGATGAGTACTGCTAACTGAGATTATGAATTTTTAACAGAGCAAAATGGTAAAAACGTATTCATGTAATAATCCTTGGTAGTTGACAAAGGGCCTTATGTATGGCTTCAGTTTATAATAATTATCAAGCTGTCAAGACGATGCAGTGATATTGCAGCAAACTCTCTACTTCGTCTCCCTTCTATCTTCGTTTCTTTTTTGGCTCTCTCAACACCACAAAAAATATTAAACGTAAGGTCAAGTTTTCATTTTCGTCCAAAATCTCTATCACCTCCAATCCTTATATCCAAATAGTCACCACCCTACCTTCGACCAGTCTAAAATCTAAATACAAAAATAAAGTTATAGCAAAAGTGGGGACTTAGGCTATTTTATATAACATTTTTGTTAGACTATAAGGGGAAACACAATAACTAATCCAAACCCCACTCCAAAAACTTTGCAATCTCTCCCTCCTTAAAATTATTTCATGAGCCAATGATTATTATATATCATCACACATTAATTTTCAAGCCCAATATTGTCATATTACTTAAATATGGTTCGCGAATAATCATACAAACCACATGAGGTACCAAATCCCTCACTAAACAACAAAAATTAAGCAACGAGATACCAAATCCCTCACCTTGCTACAACAAGAAATAATTCTACCATATTTGATTTCATTTACTATGAAATCAATTAGACATTCATAGTGAGCTACCATTCAACACATGATGTATCTAAATAAATACTACATCACATAAACTTGTACCACAAACATTTATAAGACGATTAAATGCATGCCGTGCTTACTAAAAACAGGACCAGTGCTTCAAATACAATAGACAATCAAGAGCAGAAACCTGTGCTCGGATAAAACCACAGAGAGCAAAAGTAGAGAATTGAGCAGAGTAACAACCAGCCTCGTCCAAATGCCCAACATTAATCTGGACAGATGCATGATCCTTCGAAGTGATCAGCCTGTTCGTGGCAGAACTGCAACAACATGATGAATAATGGGTAAATCTCTTGTACACCACTCAACAGAAGCAACAATAAGATATAAAAGTACACTCAGAAAAACAAACCACTTCCTGGGGATGTAAAGATCCATGTTTTTTCCCTCATCGTTCTGCATCTTTGCGGATTGTTTCACAGCCCCCAAATTTTAATGATCAAAGCACCTGACATTGATATGACCCAAAAGAAAAGCTTTCATTAAAAATAACCCAACTATCAAGGGGAAATACATATAAAAATTCATTGGCTTGAAAAAATTGAGATGACTAATCTAAAACTTGTAATCTGAAATTCTTATAAAAATCACACACATTTGCATCTAAATTTATATATGTGTATGATATAGGGATGTGCATCACAAGATACATCATTAAAAAATATTTATAAAAGAAAAAAAGTTATATAATTAATATATAAAAAATAAACCAGTTTTTGAACTAGAGTAGCATCTTTGTAAGATCAAGTTCTGAAAGACTCTAGAACTAATTGGCTTTCATAACCTATGTTTATAGGTATCACGAATTCAGAAAAACTTTTTATTTTTATTTTACATATATAATGTAATTCAAATGAAATATATATATATCAGGTTGAGAAAACAATAAGGACCAATAGATACACTTCATGTGAGTCCCTCATGAAGTGTAAGACTATAATATAACTAGATACAATTCATCATTATCATCAAGTTCAACCACACAAATTCTCTTTTTTCATTCTTTTCTATTACAAGCCACATTGCTATTATTTTTAATTTTTAAAAATCATTGTAATTACTAGTTTTAATAAATCCACCTTTTTTTACCAGCGGATAAATGGGTCCCCACAGTATATAATCTTAATACCTAAATCTACTCTCTCTTGTTTTATCACTAATAGGTATTGCTCCTACTCAAACAAATCAATGGAGTGAAAGTCGGGCGAAGGGGTTTAATTTATTTCATTTCCCCCAAAAACTTCTCTCCTCAGAGGGCAAATCCCCCTCCTAGACGTAGGTCTTCCTGGAAGTGAGAACACTGTTGCCCGACTTATAACCCGGTCACTCCCCGACATCTTTCACCTAAAGTAGCTACACCAGTGTTGTCACCGGGGAATCCCCACCCACCACGGAAATGAGAAAATATATTAAAAATAAGGTCTCATCGGGCCTACATCTTGTCTGTCTTCTTTTTGTCAAACAAGTAGTTTTACATCTTTTCTAGTGACTCCTATCATCCATCTTAACATTATCTTCCCCATGTCTGCATAAATCGCCTCTCGGACCTTACTACTTTGTGAGAGAGTTGACTTATGCCCAATTGGCTTGTATAGTATTGCTCAGATGAATACTTGTATAGCATTTGTTCATTTAACAAAACAATAAAGATAAAGAACTTGAATAAACCCATTGATTATCTAAGAATCATACATTTTTTTCCTCAGTATATACCAAATAATCATAAAGTGCAAACACAAATTCTAAAAAATTGCATATAGGTTCAACAAAACGACCAATTCATATCGACTCAGTTCCAAGCAAGATTATAATATATCACCGTGCAACACAACGCATTTATACATGGATATATACAGACGAACACAAATACACAAACAAATATATATACATACAACATGAAAATTGAACAAATTTACAAAGAAAAAAAAAAGGAATTAAAAACAATAGATTCACAAAATCACAACATGAGCACAAATAAAATTATGCGAAATCTAAAGCACAATAGTTCGAGAGAGTGAGAGACGTTACCGAAAAGAAGAGCGAGAGAGAGAGAGAGACTCCAATTTAGGTTCTCCTGAGCTTTTATATCCGTTCGCCAAAAAACCTAGGTTCTGTAAAATGTCTTTTTAAGGGACGAAAATACCCAGAGATTTCTTTCTTAATGACGAAAGAAGGCATTATTCAGGATTTATTTAGTCATGTAAAACGCCGTCGTTTTTCGATTATGCATAAGTCAACTATATTTTCATCAATCCACTGTTAAAGGTGTGTTTGGGTGGCCTCCTGGAGCTGTTAAACGGGCTTCCACCTCTCAAAAGTCATTTTCTAAAAATTAGACTGTTTGGTGATTTTTTGTATGCTGGCTTATTAAAAAGTTGTTCCTCTGTAAGTCCATTTGGCTGAAGCCATTTTCAGAGATTTTAGAACCATTTTAAGTAATAATTATTGTATTCTCTATTTTGTTCTTCGCCGTTTCATTTAATTGCATTCATTTTTTTACCCTTTCTCAACTTTTTTTATTCTCTGTTTGTAGCCACAAAGGTGATTTCCAAAGACATGATCAGTTAAGAGGTTAAATGCAGTTGGGCTTAAGTGAATGCGTGAGAGTTTGGGCTTGTAAAGAGAGAATGATTTGGGTTTATGAAAGATGGGTGAGTTTGGGCTGAATTTAATTTGAATGGGCTAAACTATTATATATAAGAGTTTTATTTGTAAAAATATAGATCTTTCACTGTACGAGTTTGTTCATGAGTTTATCCAGTCGAACTCAATATTATTTAAACTCGGCTCATTTACTAAACAAGTTTAAAAAATATATTTAAGCTCAGCTGGTTTACTTCACAAATGAAGTACAAACCCAAATGGATGGTGTTGAAAGATGGATGTAACAATTATACTAATTCTGCACGAATTAATTGTTATGTATATTTCAAATTCTTATTGGGTTGGGTCTATTTCAAATTCTTATTGGGTTGGGTCTTGAGTTGTATTGGTTTGAGAATGTTTTATTTCACTTGGGTCCAACATAATTGTATTTAAACTCCAAATAAGTATATTCTTGAGAGTTAAATCGAATCACGTTAAATATTGTGTAATGGGGTATAGTTTCCCAACATTTGCCTGCTCGGCAATGATTGATTTTTTATTTATCTATTATTATTGTTGTTGAAGTGTGAGATACACGTGAGACCCATAATAAATAAATAAATAAATATATATATATATATATATATATATATAAAGTTTAGTTGCTTTGGTCAATTAGGGATTTTTTTTTTTTCCATATGATTCACATTAGCACGATCACTGAGTTAAATGCTTAGTTGCCAAAACCAAACCAAAACCTAAAATTTATCTAATTCTTTTATTTAATTCATTAAAAATATATAGAATGTTGAAAACCAAAACCAATTTTATATAAGCTAAAAAAGATTGGGAAAATAGAAAGTGTTGATAATACTAATATCTTGCTTGTCAGGTTATTTTAAAAAATAAGTATTATTTTGGTTCATCTTTTATTTATTTATTTTTTTTAAGAAAAAAATTATTTTAAACCTCAACAATTTTTTTGAAAAATGAATCAAATATTTTTTTTAGGCAAGTCAAAAACATTCCTTATAATCCCATTGAATTTTGAATCATCACGACATGCACAAGGGACCAGGTCAACTTTCACCTGCTTAAGCATATCATCAACATGGACTGCACAATAGTTTGCCATGAAAAATCATCATCCACAATCAGCAAAAGCAATTACTTTGCATTCACATCTAATTTGAGAGAGAGAAAAATACTAGTAGTAATATAATATTTCAAACCAACAAGTATATAAACCCGAAACCCTAAAATTCTCTCTTCTATTTTTTTTTTTTTTTTTTTTTGATAGTTCAAACCGTAAAATTCTTACCAATTAACATAAATCCATTGAAATTCTCAACACAATTTAATAGTGTTCAGCTGATTATAGATCACCCATACTTGTTAAATCCAGCTCATTACCAAAAGCCTGTCTTTAAACATCATCATTCAATTCCCATAGCCTCTCCAAACAGCCCACCTAAATCAAAGAGAAGAAGTTGGTGAGTAAAAATGCTTTCAATACCAAAAATTCTGCCACCCTACATCGATACACCAAACACGGCATATAACGTACATTATGCATACTTCAGTCCTTTAAGACTTAACATGATGTAATTGGAAATGGTAATATCAAAATAAATAATGGGGGGAAATTCATGGTTCTCTCTCTCTCTCTCTCTCTCTCTCTCTCTCTCACACACACACACACACACACGAAATAATAGGGGGGAAACTCCCATTGGTAACTATTAGTCGAATGCATGGACATCTCCAAAATCGTAGGCACTAAGAAGAGAGTGTGCAAACGACGCCCAGTGAAAATTGTTGAAACTTATATGTGTGGACATTTCTTAACCATCTAGACACGTCTTGAGCAAAATATTGATAACTGAAAGAAACATATACAAAGCGGACAATATCTACAAGGATTGGTCGGGTTGGGACAAATGGTATGAGAGCCGATCCCTAATTAGAAATGGAGAGCGCGCACAAGCCCATACAATCAAGTCAGCGAGGATATTAGATCTCAAAAAAGAATGATTGTGACGTTCCACATTGTTTGGAGGAGAAGTTGAGATTTATATATGTAGACACCCATTAACCATGTAGATACGTTTTGAGTAAAATCGTGAACACTAAGATTAAAATGTACAAAGCAGACAATAGCTATCAAGTTAAACACATCAGGTATCGCAATGGAAAATCATCCTTCTAGAGAGTGTCAGCGACCTAATTGGCTTATTGGCATAGTGACATGCGGTTCCTTAATTGTGTTGATTTCATGCAAGGGGGAACACATGAAACGAAATGGTCCAGTTGGCACAATTATATGATAATTGATAGATTCAAAATATTAAAATGATGAACAAATTCAAACTATCATGCAAAAAAGAAGTATAAAGCTTAGCTTAGATTACATTATCATATCATCAAAGATCAAAATAGAAAGAAAAACAAACAGAAGTGGAACTTAAGTTTCAAGACAACACGAAACTCTTTGCGGTCCTGTCTTCGATACGATCATGTAGTCGAGACCAGAGGCGGAGCCAGAATTTTGAGGTTAGGGGGGCCAAAATTATAAGTAGCATTACCTAATTATAACTTTGGAAAAAATATATATATTACGTAGGCAAAAATATTTTACTATTTATTATATTCATACAAAATTATATCTATTTAAACTTTTTGAAATTTTTTATCAAACTTTTTGAACAAACACAAATAAGATTTATGCCAAAATTATAAAAAAAATTCAATTAAATAACTCTCTTTATTTACCGAAAAGGAAAAGAAAAACAAAAATAACTTTAAAAAAAATGTAACAATTGAAAATTTAACAAAACAATAACAATGATAAAAAAAAAAATAATAATAATAATAATAATAATAAAAACAACAACACAAACCAATTAATAAAAAAAAAAAAATTAGATTCTTAAATCATCAATTTTTGTTGATATTCAAAACTTCAAATGAAATTTTTGTTCTTGATTTTGTAAAAATTAATTTCTTATAGAATTCTTATAAAAGTATTTCAATAAAAATGAATAAAAAGAAGGAAAAAAAATTTGATGGAAAGAATCACTGAATTTTAGAATAATAAGGTTATGAAAAGAATCGTGCTTGTAGTCACATTATGGAAAAAACGGTATGTGAGTTAAAATTTTAAGATAGTCACATTAAATTTTAATGTGAATTAATTTTTATTGAGATTCTATAATCGTTAATTAAACCACTATATAAACTATTTTTTGTTAAATTCTAATTAAAGAAATAATTTTTTTTTTCTTAGGGAGGCCAAGTATAGATTTTGTACTATATATACTATATTATTTTATTTTTACCTATACTAAAAAAAAAAATTTCAAAAAATTAGGGGGGGCATGGCCCCCGCCGGCCCCCTCTTCCCTCAGCCCCTCTGGTCGAGACAACCTGTTATGAAAACAATTTAAGGACATGAGACACATTCTATCAAATATTATATTTTTCAAAATCAAAGCTTAGATAGTGTCCTAATAACAGAAAGTCTCAATAACATAAAATAAAATTTTACATGTAAAAAAAGCAGAAACATCTCATGAGAATCCCAAATGTCGTGTACTTGTAGATGTACAGGAATATTTGAACATCAAGGCATTAAATGGACCCAAAGGTGGTTCACTAAGAAATTATCAACGAAAGTAATAACTTAAATAAAATTCTATCTACTAGTCATAATTGTGCTTTCTAAACGTAATTTAATTGATACAAATAATATTGAAAATTTTGATTGGTTGTTAAACCAAATATCTAAACAATGAAAGCACGGATTGTGCCTATTTTCATAATCATTATCCTTGCGTTAAGGTGAATCACATAAATTCTATTTCCATTCTTTTCTGTCACAAGCCAACACTCCTAGTTTATTTTATTTTTTATTTTTATTTTTTTGTGGTTCCATATTATATTCAACATTTTAAAGTAATTTTTAATTATGTCATATGTTTATTTCAGTCGCCCAATTTGTCTCCTACCTTCAGTGCAAATTGAACTAGTGTCCATCTATGAGTCGCCTTTGTATATGTTCATAACACCTGAGTTAACTCTCTTAAATCTTCTCACTGGTAGGGCGCCTCAACTAACATTTCCTTTGACGATGACGAATCTTCTTTTGGGACTTTAAAGTTTATTTTCTCTTTTGGACTCTTTGAGCTCTTAGGTCCTTCCAAATGCACCACCAAACGCAAAAGGGTGCCCCTAACAAGCATTTCAAGAGTAGAAATTGTATGGCAGCTCTATTAATTAAAGCGCTTTTTCATTCTAAATGCAAAGCCAAACATGGCTCATGTCATTGACAACCTGCACCATGGAATGTCCAATTGTATTTCTTTTAAAAATCTCATCTAGAATTATTGTGAATAAATATGTATCTTAGTATTTTATATTTATAGAAAAAAACCCTACTTCTCGCGGCAAGATTATGAAACCAAAACATTTGAGCTAATTTTTTAAGCTCATTCTTATAAAAAGCTCTAAATAAGCTTGAGGGCACTAATTTAACTTAAAAGACATGTTTGAGCAAGT